GAGGACAAGCCCGAGTCTTCTGAGGAGAAGAAGGACGAGTAGATGTGTTTGGCTAGAGACATTGTCGCTACTGGACGCTTACTTGAAAATGCTCTACTTATTACCCTTCATTCTCGGTGTGAACATGCCCCGGATTTGGTATGTGAACGTCAATCATGGCGCAGCCTAGCAGCTGCATGGCTCACGAGTATTTGCCATTCGACCTCTCACATTCTTTCAGCAAATCTGAATGCACTGGCGTGCGTGGAGTATACTCTGTGCTTAGCATGAGGTTGGGAGCACTAAGAGCAATTTCAACTTCAAACCCTAGATAAGCGCCGGGTGTTCGTCAGTGTCAGTATATGACGCGCTGTGAGCTGTGCGCATGCCATGGCCACAGTTCAGCCGCTGATACATGTTATGAGAGCCTTTTGATAGTTGTTTCGCGTATCATGTTTCCGTACAGCACGCGTAAGGCCGGACAAAGTAGACTAGTAACTCACATGACCGCGCATCAAGCAGGTCTCAATATAGCTCGCGCTGCATCCCGCACGCGTCTTACCTCTAACTCTCATCTCACCCACACTTTGATCGTTTCATTGAGCTGGAGACACGATGGACGTTGTCAAGGCCGTCGAGACGTACATCACCAAGATGGTGTCCGTCCCGAACGCCATGAAAGTCTTCCTCCTCGACTCGCACACCGTCCGTCCCAACCTCTCGCTCCCCCACAATTATACATCTGAACCTATATACCATCATAGACTCCGATCGTATCCCTGGCCTCAACCCAAAGCACACTTCTCGCGCACCAAGTATACCTCACAGACCGGATCGACAACACCAAACGCGACCGGATGCCGCACATGAAATGCGTGTGTTTCTTGCGTGTTGCCGAGGATAGTCTTGGGGCTCTCGAAGCCGAGCTTAAAGAGCCGAAGTATGGCGAATATTATCTGTGTCAGTGCGTGCGCCATTTCGTGTTGCGGGTATGGGTTGCTCAAGTCTAGGTCCATATAGACTTTAGCAATGTGTTGAGCAAGACGGCTATTGAGAGGTTGGCGGATGCGGACGAGTATGAGGTCGTGCGCGAGGTTCAGGTGCGTTCTGATCTATGCATTATAGTGCCGTATCTGATTGGACTTGTAGGAGTACTTTGCGGACTACGCGCCTCTGCTGCCCGCTCTGTTTTCGTTCAACCACTTCCCGTCACCAGAGGAGCCATTATACGGCGGTACTCCCAATACATGGAACTCGGCTGCTCTCGATCGACATGTACAAGGACTCGCCGCGTTACTCCTCAGCTTAAAGAAGAAACCCGTCATCCGGTATGAGCGTATGAGCGGAATGGCCAAGAAGCTGGCTAGCGAGATCCAGGTTCGTGGATTCACTCATAAACATGCACATTGCTCTATGACATGGTGTATCACTATAGCACAAGATGCAGTCCGAACAACAGTTATTCGACTTCAGGTTGACGCAGGTCCCGCCGTTACTGCTCATTCTTGACCGGAGAAACGATCCGGTCACGCCTATGCTCTCGCAATGGACGTATCAGGCGATGGTTCACGAACTGTTTGGCATCATCAACGGCCGTGTCGACCTTAGCCGCGTTCCGGATATCCGCCCCGAGCTCACGGTTTGTACTACTTCATTGAACTCACGTAACTGCCTTCGACTCACGACTTGTTCACAGGAAATCACTCTGACAACAGCTACCGATCCCTTCTTCGCCGCGAACCACCTCTCCACATTCGGCGACCTAGGCCAAGCCCTCAAAAACTACGTCCAAACCTACCAATCCAAATCTCTAGCCCAAGCCCCCGACGCGATCAACAGCATAGCCGACATGAAACGTTTCGTAGAAGAATACCCCGAGTTCCGTAAACTGGGCGGGAACGTATCAAAGCACGTCGCTCTTGTTGGCGAGCTCAGTCGTTTGGTGGGCCGCGATAAGCTTTTGGATTTGGGTGAGGTCGAGCAAGGGTTGGCTACGAGTGCTGGAGCGGATTTGAAGAGCGTGCAGGGTTTTGTGGTGGATAGTACGGTTTCGGCTAGGAATAAGTTGAGGTTGGTTATTCTTTATGCGTTGAGGTATCAGAAGCAGCGCGCGAGCGATATTGCGAACCTCATCAATCTGGCGCTGCAGAATGGCGTTACGCGGGAGGACGCTAGGGTGAGTTTATCTGGCCTATCTCACTTGCAGACACCATTATCTAACGCCCGGAATACAGCTCGTGTATGCGTTGTTAAACATCGCAGGCGCAGACCAACGACAAGACGACCTCTACTCGACCGAGTCGCTACTGGCACTCGGCCGTTCGGCGCTTAAAGGCCTCAAAGGCGTCGAGAACGTCTACATGCAACATACGCCTCACCTCTCCCAAACGCTCGAACACCTCTTCAAAGGCCGTCTCCGCGAAGCCTCCTACCCCTTCCTCGAATCGCCCGGACCAAACGCCAGCCTCCAACGACCACAAGACGTTATAATCTTCGTGATAGGCGGTACGACGTACGAAGAAGCCCGACACATCGCACTGCTCAATCAAGAAGGCGCAGCGACGGGCGGCGCGCGTTTGTTACTGGGTGGAACATGCGTACACAACTCGAGTAGCTTTCAAGAGATGATACGCGGTGCGGCCGTCGGGTTCCCACCGAACGTGTACGATCCTCCACCGGAGAGCGCGAGTAATGCGCCTGCGCTCAATTTGAATCTGGGAGGGGTAAATGTGAGCCTTGGTGGGCCGGCTGGGCCGGGGTTGTATAGGACGACTGCGGAGAATAGTATTCAGGCGGATGGGATTAGGGATGGTGTTAGGAGTTTGATTGGGAGGGTTAGGCAGGGAGTGGACCAGTTGAAATTGGGCGAGGCTTGATTACTTACAGTACTTTATGTTCTATGGATTTGGATTATTTTATGCGCATGCGGACGATATACGGGTTCGGAACGGAAGAACCTCGCTGCGGAGGAGTGGCATGCGGACGAGTATCATGCGCTCGTCGGCGGCGAACAGTTCGGCCACGTCGCGTGTCCACGACCACGTCTCGAGTTTAAGCAGCCAACAAGTTCCGGAAGCGCGTCCTTCAATTACCACCAACTCACCCATTTCTCTCTCTTTCTGCGTTACGGACGCAACCCGCCTCCAAAGCTCTGCAGTAGCTTTCAGGGTTCTCTTTCTCTTATTTCTTTACACGGTCTAACTCGGCTCGGGCGCGATGGCCAAGGGAATCTTCTCTAGCTTGAAGGGCGTCGATGCCTTTGGCAAGGTGCGCGAGGTCACGCTGGTTGCTATGGGCCGGAAGTTGAATGAGACATTGTAGACGATGGAGGACGTGAAGATCAGGACGCGAACGGGCGCGTTCCGTGCGTATATTTCGTAGTGAAATACTGTTATAAGTATGCTAATTGAGAGTACAGTGACTTTGCTGTCTGCCGCGCTTATCCTTGCATTCACGACTATGGAGTTCATCGACTACCGGCGGGTGTACATCGACACCTCCGTCGTCGTCGACCGTTCGCGCGGCGAGAAGCTGACCGTACACATGAACGTCACATTCCCCCGCGTACCCTGCTACCGTGCGTCCCAACCCGTATTATATTCATTTACTTCCAGCTTACAATAACCAACTCACTAGTACTCTCACTGGACGTGATGGACGTCTCTGGTGAAGTCCAACGCGACATTTCCCACCACATCCTCAAAACTCGCCTCACGAACGCCGGCACACCCGTCCCGAACTCCGCCATCGCAGAGATGCGCAACGAGATCGACAAGTTGAACGAGCAGCGCTCGGACGGCTACTGTGGATCCTGTTACGGTGGTACCCCTCCCGAAAGCGGCTGCTGCAACACCTGCGACCAAGTCCGAACGGCCTACGTCGCTCGCGGCTGGTCATTCGGTAACCCCGGCTCCATCTCGCAGTGTGTCGAGGAACATTGGTCGGAGCGCTTAGAGGAGCAGAGCTCCGAGGGATGTAACATTGCCGGTCGCGTTCGCGTGAACAAGGTCGCGGGGAACATCCAGCTCTCGCCTGGACGTTCCTTCCAATCGGCCGCTTCGAACATCTACGATCTGGTTCCCTATCTCAAGGAAGATGGCAACCGTCACGACTTCAGTCATACGGTCCACCGTTTCCAGTTCTCCGCCGACGACGAGTACAACCCTAACCGCGCGAGAGTCGCCATTCGGTTGCGCGAGTCTTTAGGGATCGAGAGTAATCCTTTGGACGGGTACCTTGCCAGGACGAGTAAAGCGCAGTATATGTTCCAGTATTTCCTCAAGGTCGTCAGCACGCAGTTCAAGGCGTTGAATGGACAGAAGGTCAACTCTCATCAGTATAGTGTTACCCATTTCGAACGCGATTTGAGTAAGGGGCATGGAGATCAGACGGTTGAGGGTGTGCAGGTTCAGCATCAGGGAGCGGGGATTCCTGGGGCGTTTTTCAATTATGAGATCTCGCCTATACAGGTTCGCCATGTCGAGGAACGCCAGTCGTTCGCGCATTTCCTCACTTCGTAAGTCCTTCCCTCTTACCCTTTTACTTCGCTGAAGCTAAACTGTACCATGCAGAACATGCGCCATCGTCGGTGGTGTGCTCACGGTGGCCAGCATCGTCGATAGCGTCCTCTTCGCCACGCAGCGCACGCTGAAGAAGAAGAGCGGTGTTGCGAGCGGAAATGGGCACTCGAACGGCAAACTCATGTGAGGGCTCCTTAACTATGGATGGGGATGTTGCGTATATTATTGCGGACTCGACGCTGTACTATCAGGACTTGCTGCAGACTTGACAGAGAACCACATGCACCCATGCATTCTGCGTTGCGATGACTGGATGAAGACTCCCAGCTCGATCCGTGCGCAGTTGTGAATTATTGCTTGATGAACCATGACCAGTATAAGCCTCTGAATGTTGAGGACTAAAACAGTATTGAAACTTTTAGTGCTGGACTACGATTGCTTTGGGTGGCAGAGAAGACTACTTTGATGGACTATAGCTTATTGCAGCTCAATCAAAGTATATCGGATATGGTGTAACGGCTAACATTGCCGCCTCTCAAGATCTCGGGACTCGAACCCCTTGGTTTAAAAGATCGCGGCAGCTCGGGGTTCGATTCCCCGTATCCGAACTTCAGCAGTGAATTGCATCTTTTTTGCCCACTTATAGTCGTCGAAAGGCTGAGATTATCCCTAAGGTATGTGTCCGCCTTTACATCTCTAAAGGTAACGTAGTAACAAACTACGACCGTCTACCTCTTTAATCTTTTGTACTATACGACGAACACCGAGCGCAGGGCGCTTTACACTTGTCAGGGTGCATTCCTCACCAGCATTCGCGAGTGACTCGTATCATGCCATGCAACTTTGCCGTACACTTTACAAACGAAGGGTATATTCCACATTGGGAAATGAAGAGTAGATGTACACACAAGACATACACCCGAACCCGGCCTCGTCAAACCCCAGAACAGCGAGGACGGTTTCTAGAAGTACAACAGCCATGCGAATACAGCGAGGATAAACGGAGGCGGATGAGGATATCGCGATGAGTGCGTGCGGAGTGTACAGTGGTCAGTGATAAGTGGGACGTGCAAGTCAGATGGGGATCCAGTGGGCGAACAAAGTGAGTACAAGATGAGTGCGTAAAGTGGGCTCGAGGGCAGCTCAGCCCTTCGTGACGGCGACGGCAGGGTTGCTCATCACGCTCGATACGGGCCGACCGCGCGACGGCTTCGGAGGAGGAGCATGGGTGCCGTACGCCGTGGAAGGCGTCGATGCGCCCGATACGAGCGTCTTGTCGTCCATGACCATCTTGTCGTCGACGTGTATCATCTCGTGCGACTCGACGTCGATGAACACCTGCGCGCCGCATATCAGTACCATTGAATAGGTGATGGACCAGGGTAAGATGACGTACCTCGGGGCGCATGGGAACCGAGCCGAATGTCACCACGTCCGCGGGCTGCAGGCGAGGCGTCAGAAGGCGAAAGTATCACGAAGGAGGAAGACGTACGCGGCGGCTAGTGTTGCCGTTCATCATGCCACCGCCGGAGGTGACGTCCTCAGAGTCAGCTCCGCCCATCTTCCAGCCCTGGCGGCTGTTCAGACTGCTGAGAAGCGAGTTGCCTGTACATCCAGATGCAATCAGCGGACCGGTCAAGAGTTGGTTCACGGCAAGAGTGACGCACTGTAAAGCTTCGAAAGAGGGAAGTTGAAGATGAGATGGGTGCCGGTGGGCTATGGCACGGCGTCAGACGTGTGTTATACGACGCAACATATATGCATATATACGTACGATGCTCAGGAAAACGATAAGGTCGATGATGGCCCAGAGGGAGGTGATAAGCCCGGTCTGGACGGTCACTGCACGTAACGATGAGCATCCTCGTACATATAGGGAAGCGAGTATACGGACAGCGGATAATACGATCGAGCACGTCGTTCGAATGCTTGAACCCGCGCTTGGACTTCCTCTGCATGCAAGCGTTAGCAAGATTGTTATGCGCGCTAGCCAGACACGCGATGCTTACGAGGTGCCACACCATAACCCCGGTGATAGAAGTATCGACGATCGCGGAGACGGTGAGCCAGACGATGACCGGGACCTCGAAGCGCTGGAACTCCGTCCATACTGGCACGATGCCTATGGCAATGGACGTCGCGATACCTCCAACTGCAGTAGGCAGTGGACGGAATGAGCATGATGATTCACAACCCCGAAGACAATATCAGAAGACGCACGGCACGAGATGATAGCGCCGAGGACGAGAAGACCCGTGGCGATGTAGCTGCGGGTAAGAACCTTGACACGCCAGGCGAAGAAGAGCTGGACCATTGTGCCAATGATGCTCTGGATATGGTATAAGCCGCACGACCCGCAGCAGAAGATTCGCAGGTACTAACAGTCATAGCAGGATCTTGAGTGAACAACAAAGATGTATCAGCGAAGAGAAAGAATGGAAGACTTCGGCGGTAGACATACCGGTGGCGAACACTGCGAATGGACAGTTTCAGTTCAATATCAACTTTGGTCGGAATGCGCTCGGGAACTCACCCCAAGTAGCCTTCTGGATCGCCGCCGGGTCGTCTACAAGAGAATAGTTAGCGCCTCATACGGGCGGCATCGGCGGTGAGACTGACTGTAGTGCAGAACGAGCGAGCTGTACGTATACTCGACATCGAAGACGGCATTGAGCGTATCGGCGAGGAAGATAAACCCGACGAGAGCCTTCATCCACGCCCTGTCCCTTTAGACAGATAAGGTATTAGCGGGATGGTGTGGAAATAGTGATGGCGGCGGCGTACTTCTTGTATGTCTGAATGTACACGTCTGTTTATAGATAAAGCTTGTCAGCGGTCGAGCGGCGGTGAGCGCAAAGTGAAGGAGCGTACAGGTCTGGGCGATGGAGATGCCATAGAGGCAGACGTTGAGAATGGTGCCGATGAAGATCGGACCATGGCTTGTGGAGGCACAGGGAGGTCAGAATGGGGAAGGGCAAGTTGTGGCGCCGGCGGCGGTACTCACGCGACGAGGGCAAAGTTACCAGGGGCAGACATGGCGGTAGGTACGAGGGATGTCGACGGGCGGGGCCACTAGAGGATCGACGACTTATTTGCCTGCAAAGTTTAAGTAGGACCCGGCTATGCATTGATTTGCGCTCCCTCAAACAGTCAGACCTTACACCCATTCCGGCACATAGGCGTCTCCACCAACTCACGCGCGGGTCTCCGGGCGAAGAAAAGAAGCTCCTAGCCGAACAGAACCTTTCTACTTGGGGGCACGAAGCTCGCAAAGGCCGCAACGCCCGTCTGAAGGTCCAAAGGTCGGTAACGAGAACTGTGTGATACAACGAAGGACAGCTTCCAAAACCTTTCGCATGTCAAACATACAAGTCCGACGCTCTCGTGGAGTCCAGTTTGAATGTATATGTGTACGGTTTGCATTCAAACTCAGAAGACAGAAGTAGGCAAGTCTGAAGCTCGGACAGGGAGAATGTGGCATCACGAGGGCCGATGGCACCGCCCGAGATCGTGGTTCGCTTCCAAAGCACGACGCGCGAAGCCTTGTCTTCACCGCGATGGACGCGTCGCACACGATCGTAGTCCTCGCTCCGCGCGATGCCGACGCACACGCGCTAATCGCCCGTATGCGTGCGCCCGACCTCCAAAGGCGCATCTGACGCGAAAGTAGGGATAAAGCAGGCCGATGCGCCGGTAAACGAGGAGTACGTTCCTTGGACGATCTCGAACAAGTACTACACCGCCGACGTTCGCTTCCGCGTCGTCTCCCTGGCTCAGTGGACACCCTCGGTCCTCTCCGGTATACCCGCGACGATCTTCGCCTTCCAGCGTGGTGAGGTACGCGTAGTCTTCTCCCGTCTCTTGTCTCTTTTCGCCCGACCTTTTCCATTCCACTTCGGGAATCGAAGCGCATCTTACCAGTTCCATGCTGACGCCTTGACAGCCATACGCCCAACATGTCAATAACATCGCGCCACACGTCGAGGCCGCTGCGCCCGATGTCGTGCTCGCCGTCGGTCTCGGCTCAGAGCCGCCCCACCCGGACGACCCGCCCGAAGGCCCTGACGCGTTCTTCGCCGATGCTGGTTTCGAGTACGCCGAGGCGGCAGCCCCCGCCGCAGCGTCCATATCCTCCACCACCGCCGATGAAGACAGTGAACCCGGCGTCGGCAATCTCTCGAGGGTCATTGACGCGCTCAGCACAATCATGTGGCCCAGCATGCAGCGGGCGGCGGGTTCGAACAAGCCGCCAACCCTTGGGCAGCAGATCGCGATGCTCGACGAAGGCGACCTGGAGGGTCTTGATGCCGGCGAGCTTGACGCTGATCTCGATGAGGAACAGACACTCGCTGCGCTTATGGCCGATCAGCCTGTCCCGCTTCCCCGAGCACAGGCCCGCGCGACGCAGATGGCCGCTCTTGAACGGTGGCTGCTCGAGAATGAAGACTTATACGAGCGCGAGGGTGCTGAAGGGCACGACGACGATGCATCTACCGCTGCTGGTGACGATGCCCTCGGACAGGACAACTCTTACACTCGCGAGCAGAGCGCATTCACGAGCGAGCTTGCTGCGAGTTTGGGCACAAGTAGAGATCCTTGGGCACCTCGCTTCTCCGCTGACGCGACACCTGTCGCTGAGACGCCGCCCTCGCGCGGCTTCGACGACGACTTCTCCGCCTTTGTTTCAGCACCCGCAATCTCCGTCCTGTCAGAGTCGTCCGCAGACCCGCAAGTCCCGTCTTTATCTCCTACTGCATCGATGAACATTCCCGCTTTCTCGACGAGCCCACTCCCTGAGTCAAGCTCGGCAGGCTTCCTCGCACCAATGCGTACGGGCGGCAGTCTACACTCGCTGAGCAGCTTTGGCCAGGACGAGATAATCGACGATGCGACCGGTTGGATGGCGCTCTCCGAGACGGGCTCGCACTTCGGAGATAACTCACTGCGAGCCGACTTGAGCGAGCTTGGAGACGAGTCTTCATCGCATCTTGCACCCGGCCATTCGTTCGAGCCGGGCTTCTCACCGTTCCGCCCCACCCGCTCGTTATCCGACCCGCTCGAGGATGACCCGCTGGACTTTGGGTTGCCGCCTGCGCCTGCGCCTGCTGGTGTTGCATCATCGTCAATTCCGGGTGTGAGAGGAGTGGGCGCGGGCGAGGCGGACGTACGCGATGCTCGCGCAGCTTTTGATCTTGTGGACGTGCTTGGTGCGCTCGCGAGCGTGAGGGAGGGAGTACAAGGACTCGACGATGAGCGTGCGCGACGGGACGCTGCGGCGCGGTTCGCAAGCGAATTTGTCTATGGGAGGATTGGCGACGAGGCCTGAGGGGACGATAGGCTTGGAGGCGGGTGTAAGATATCGCTATTCTGATGTAAGCTATATAGGTGTTATCGATGTCGTATACACCTCGTATACATTTTTATGTCTACATGCGACGTCGTGTAAGCTTCAGACCTTCAGCAAGCTTCACGCGCAGCCTCTACGAAAATGAACGCAGAGACCAATCGTGAAGCTGAGCCCAGCTCTAGTGCAGCGCCACGCGAGGCGCATATACCTGCTGCGCAAACCAGCTTCGCCCTCCCGGCCACCCGTTTTGAGAACTTTTTT